ATCGGCTGGAGCTCCTCAGACATTCAATGCAGGAATATCCAAAGTAGGGCACATCTGAAAAAAGGGAGAAGGCAGGGAGAGAGGCAGAGCGTTTTTAGGCAGTCCACCAAAGCAGGCAGGAGCAGAGGAACCCCCCTCACCCGACATCAAAGGCTCAACGTGAAGCTCTCAGAGCCGGGGCGGAAAAGCAACCGCTTATAAAAATTACTTAGCAATGTTTTCAAACAACGTTGGAAATGCCACTGGTGGACGGCAAAGGAGATTCTAAAAACACCAGCATTTTCTTCGAGTTGTGGTCTGTTTAAATAAGCACCACTGATTTATTCCCCCGGGGGGGGTTTACTTTATGCAAGAAAATCTGAACAGTAAAGGGAGAGAAGTGAACAGTAAAGCAAACCTAAGACGGCGAAGACAGACCTCGGGCAGCATTATATAAGAAACACAACAACCAGCAGCTATGTTGAAACTACAGAACAGATATTTATAAAACAATGTGCCATTCTGCCTGAAATAAATGCAGGATTCTGCCCGAGCGACAGCTCCCAGGAAAAAGCACTTTGAAAAGCAATCTTGCCATTGGCACCAGAAAGAGGGAGCATTTCAACAGTTAAACCCCTTCTCAACAGATTTATCCTCCAACAAAACGAGGCTTATCTCCAAATTAAGCCAGATATTTGAGCCCCAATAAAACAAACCAACGTGCCGCAGCAAGTCGAGTCGTCTTCTTATTTTCCTCCCTTAAATCCAAAGTGGGGCCAGGGGAGCCCCAGTCTGGCCCCTCCTGCAGCCGGAGCCCCCGGCCCCCAGCCCATCGCCCCGGCATCGAGGACCCTCCCAGCAACCTCCCGTGAAACGGGCTCGGGGTGACGGCTCCGGCTTCGCATCCCACCACGGCCGCTCCTGGGGCCGGCTGTACCTTTTGGCCATGGGGATAATTCCTCCTTTCTCCGACCAAATAAAGCCTTGCCTTGGCAGGGACCTCGTGCCCAAACCCTATGCAGGTAACGCAAGTGCAGCCCGTGCACTGAAACTCCAGCAAAGCAAATCACTGCGGATTCACCGACATGAGCCAGAGCCCAAATCCCCCCGTTCCCCCTCCCTGAGCTCCATGCGAGAGTCCAGGAGATTTAAAACCCCATTTGCCTTCAATACTACTGAAGAAAAACTAGTTAACTAGTCCTGAAAGCTCGCAAGAAGAATACAAAAAAAAGAAAAAGAAAAAAGAAGTTTATCTGAGAAAGATTACCCAGGGAAAAAAATCCATGAAAAGAAAATAATAACCCACAAAGAGCCGCTCTGTTCCCATTGCTGGGAGGAAAAAAATAAAAAAGTCCTATCTGCAAGGCCACGGGGTAACAGGAAGAAAAGGGAACGGACTCGGAGCCAATTTCATTGTATCTGCATGGTCAGAAAAACCCTCCCGAGCGAGCGAGGAAGTTCCCGGTGCCCTCGAACGTACCTTCCGCAGCGCCCGTCCGTGCGCTGAGGGGCTCCGCGTCCCTCCGGGTCGCCCACCGCACGCTGCGGCTCCGGGCAGGCACCGAACCCCACCAACTCTGGTATCAAACCCTGGGTTTGTATCTGCTGTAGCTCAAGCTTTTACCAAGTCAAATCTCCCCGGCAGCGCACAGCATCTAAATGAATAGGCCGGATGCAGATTAACATTCAGGCTGCTCTCTGCAATGAATAGAGCCCTTTGATTAGGGACCTGAAGTAAATGCCAGTTTCAAACCGAAGCTTTAAAAACAGAGAAATATCAGTGCCAGAGGAATGCTCTCAGTGTTGGTACAAGACAGACTTTTGATGAGTCACTGCAATGCAAACAAAGATGGCAGAAATACTGTACTGTATGCTGATGAAATGCTTAGTGGTGCCACGGCAACTGAGACAGGTTTTAAATTTATAGTGCAGTTTTGCATATGAATTACGCTGTAAACTGCCTCCCCTGCCATCTAGTACATCCAGAGTGTCAAAGCATTTAAACTATTCCAAACAGTCTGCAGAGCTGGCACTGCTGCTGGTTAACTCCTGCAGCCGGAGGAAGGCGCAGGGCGGGGGCTGCGAGC